TGATTCAACGTATAACATATTTATGGGGAGGATTATTGAGGAGATAAACAAAGGCACCGCATGTGCTCTGGGTTCAGAAAAATATATCAGCCGAAGAACACGTTTTTGTAGGACGAGGATTTTATGTAAATGAGATTTAGCAGCTTGGCCCCAAACAGCCACGCCATAGTTCACGATTTTTCTGATTTTTTCTCGTCATAAGTGCTCAACAACAGCAACAACAATCTTTATTTGTACTCACTTTCCTGTGTCAAGTTAAAAAACAATTATATTGATAATAAATAGAGTACTGGCTGTCTAGAATAACCATACGGGCTAGCGGAGCCAGACAGCCAGTAGACAAGAACATTAAATGAAAATGAATTAATTGTCTGCAAGATAGCACAAATACATACATAAATAAAGGAAAAAAAAGAGGGAAAATGCTATCACTATGCTATTAGGGAAGTCTGAAATAATTAGATTAAAGTATGAGTATAAAGCATTGATATAAGAGGAGCACACACGTAGTAAATATGACAACTAATGACATATAACATTATATACATATATAAACTATGAAATAACTTATATCAAGGCTTAGAAAATTTGACAGAACTTAACGAAAGAATAATTAACCATAGATCTAATATATAGATCTATGGTTGAATACATAGATCTAATAATCATTAACGAGATCGCATTTGACTGATTCCTTAAATTTTGAAAGAGAAAAGGATTTAGAGTTTTCACTTATAGAGTTCCATACTTTGGGACCCTTAAATCTTATGTTGAATATCCCATAATTTGTTCTTACTTAAGGTAAAGTATATATGCACGATCCTTCGCAGTAAAGCACTATTTGAGCAATAGTGAAAATCAGACCTGAAAAAAATTTCAGGCCTGTACGGGATTCGAACCACTGACCTCTGCGATACTAGTGCAGCGCTCTACCAATTGAGCTAACAAGCCAACTGGGAGCAGGCCATTAAGGTAAAGTGTAGAACATATTCAAGGAACTTCTGGTATGGTAGTTATGTCTTTTGTTGACTTGTGTAAAGAAAGTATCAAAAACAGATGGTAGACGTCTATTGTGAAATTTGTACATAAAGACTGCAATATTAAGAAAGACAAGATCGGGCAGCTTGGCAATATTTAAATGCTTAAAAATTGCACTAGAATGGTCACGAAATTTAGAAAATGTCATGATTCAAATCGCTCTCTTTTGTAAAATGAACAAAGGCGGAATAGTGGAAGAATAGGTGTTACCCCAAGAAATTAAACCATAGGTTAGGAAGGGATAAACCAGGGCATAATATAGGTTCAGCAGAATGTTTAAATTCACATATTAACGCAGTTATGAAAGAATACCAATATTTCGCTTAATCTTTCCAGCAATGTAGTTTACATGGCTTTTCCGTGATAAGTTAGAATCTATTATGAGACCTAGATACCTTATTGGGTACTCTTGGTTTAAGTTTGTGCCAGTTAAGGAAGTGTCACATTAAAGGGCAATTTTCTTTGTGGCGAGTAAAAAAATGACAGAATTAGATTTATCAATATTGAGTGACAGTTTGTTAGCACTCAACCAGGTATGGATATTAACTAATTCATCATTCAAAATGGATTCAAGCACTTTTAGATTTTTATGCTAATAAAACAGATTGGCATCATCTGCAAATAATGACAATATGGCATTTTAGAGCAGTTACTAATATCATTGATATACAAGAGAAACAATAATGGGGTAAGGACTGAGCCTTGAGGAACACCACAAAAAACAGGTTCAGCTCTGACCCAGTGCGCCCCAGGGAAACGAACTGGTATCTGTTAGTAAGATATGAGGTGATCCAATCTTTTGTCACTCCGCGAGAGGAGTAAGTCTATTTGAAAGAAACCTGCTGCTTCCCCTAAAATTAAGTCTGGTTCCCCTTTACTATCGAACATAAGAGCATGATGTGAGGCACAATGTGACATGAGTTAATGTCTCCAACAGCCGTTTCCTGGACGAATTAAATAAAGAGCGGAAGTTTCGTCACATCAAATAAATTGGTAAAGAAAAAAAACGTTTTCAGGCTCTGTGCACTGTTGTGAACTGTTGATATGTTTTTTTTTCTTTGATGGTCCTTTGTCAGCTCACCAAGCACCTTGATTGCGCGTTAACCTTTTATGAAGTGACTGCTGTCGTTTAAGAATAGGGTGTTGGTTAAAACTGTAGTTTCTGAGAAAATCTGTTTGGATACCGGTAAGCTGTTGCTCCAAGTTACTTTTAAGGACTTCACAAGCTTGGTGACTTGCTTCAAAATATTTGTGCGCTTCGTTCTTGCCTTTGTTACTTTTATGCGCGAGATCTAAACTTAGAGAACACTGCTTTTGTAAAGTAATTGCAACCATCGGATGGTCATCACCAAAAATATTTCGATAAATATTTTCAGCTGTTTCCAAAGACACCTTTGATTTATTAACCAGATTTAGGCCTTTCTCAGCATCACTCCTTATCAATGAGAAATCTGCTTTCAAATAATCGCAATACCGAGGGAGAGTGTCTAGAGCTGAACGAATGTCGTCATATGCGTTGCTGTAATTGCCCATTAGCATGCTTAACCGCGCTTTCTCCCTCTTTGTCAATGCGATCTGTCGTTTAAATCGAAATGTATAGCTTAAGATTCTTTCTGCTTGGAGTAAATCCTTATTTGCTTTTGAAAGTATTTCTTGGACGCTCAACTCGTTCAAAGGCCACTGGAATTCGTAGCTATCTAGAGTAATTTCGGTTTTCTTCCTGAGAAGTACGGCAAATTCGGGGTGCAACCTTAATTCATGGCGCGCGGGAAAACCAAGTTCTACCTCTTTGAGATATTCCTCAGCCATGTCACACAAACCAAGCTTAGAGCAAGCGTAAGCCACCCGAACTGCACCCCTTCGCACCTGAAATAAACAATACAACAAAGTGCTATATGAGTATAAGAACGATCTCCGCAGTAACCAACACTACTTAAGCACGTATGATGCACGATCCTCGCAGTAGATAGCGCTATTTAAGCAAAAGCGAAAATCATATATTTTCATATATTTCATTGTATCTGAACTACTTAAGCAGTAGTGAAAATGAGGCCTAAAAAAAATTCAGGCCTCTACGGGATTCGAACCCATGACCTCTGCGATACCGGTGCAGTGCTCTACTAGCTGAGCTAACAAGTCAACTTGGAGCTGGTCATTATGTTGGTTCGTAATAAACCCGTGAAGTGATGAGTCAACGTTTGTGAAAATATGAAAGTCATATATTTGAACTGCGGTTAAAGAACGAGTATGAGAACGATCTTCGCAGTAACGAACACTATTTAAGCAATTCAAATAAATGATTTTCGTATATTCACAAACGTTAAAGTGCTATACGACTTACTCACTGTCAACAGGAAGCCACGACAACTTTTATCGTTATGGTGTTACCTTACTTAGAGAGAAAGGGCATTGACCTGAGTTTTGTGCTTGCAGTTAAAAGCCCTGGATTAGTATATTTGAAGAAAAGGATGCAAAATATGAGGGTGCTTCCCTTCATTAGCCTTAAAATGAAATCTGTTTGCAAACTAGTGGAGAAAAACTGGACTCGTGTGTTACGAAACAAGTCATAAACTTCGTGATCAACCTAAATTTATATCAAAAAACAACACCCATCTAAAATTCCAAAATCCGCTTATTTGTAAACATGAATACCGAGTCATTTTATTTTTTTAGGGAAGCGAATCAAACGTCATGAACTCCAAGGACTTGCTTTCCCTGTGATGCGTAAAATATTTTCAATCCTTGCTCGTGTTTTTATTCTTATGTTGATCGATATTTACTAACAATTTTTGTCACACTGGTTTGTAATTGATTAAACGCCTAACTTTGATGGAAATTTGCCACATATTCTTAGCTGGAAATTCCTGTTGCTGATGCTATGTCCTCTTTGAGCGGCGATCGACGTTGAGCAAACGTTTTCATGATCTTTCGTTAATAGGAAGTCTGTAAGGCGTCGACATTTATGAACTTTGAACGAAATTTTTCTCTGCCTTAATAACTCAATGTGTCACTTCACAGGTTTATTACGAACCAACATGGTAACTAGCTCCTTGTTGGCTTGTTAGTTCAGTTGGTCGAGCAATAATGCACTGGTATCATAGAGGTCATTGGTTCAAACCCCGTACAGGCCTTAATTTTTTTTTTTTTTCCTCAGGCATTGTTTTCATTACTGTATAAGTGGTGTTCATTACTGCGAATATCGCTTTCATATTCACATTGATTCATATAACTTAATTCTGATAGCCTTGACGGTCGGTAGACAATGGCTTTAATATGATAAGCTGAATTAGACGCGCAGAAGGACAACTTGCTTTTCTATCATATAAAACAAATAGATTCAATGTTCCCGTCGGTCTGTACAGTGATAGATCATGGAAGACGAAGAAGATGTGGCCAGAGCATCAGACAGACTGGGCTGTGCCTTGTCTGCCAGAACATCAGTGACACACTGGGCTGTGCCTTGTCTGCCAAAACATCAGTGACACACTGGGCTGCGCCTTGTGTGCCACTTTCTTATTCATACCTCATTATGAACGACATCTTCGATCTATTACTGAACAGGCGCGCAGCCACATCAAATCTATTTGCTAAATTTAGCACGTTGTAGAAAAAAAAAGGCTGAAAAAGGGTCCATTATCCATAACCGGCATATGATTCAAAAACAATTTACCAATTAAATCAAAAGGCCTGCTGTTTATATCGCAAGATAAGTTTTCATTTTAAATATACCTAAACATGAACAACATTTTCGATTTCTTTTGATTTATTTTTCGTGAGAAGGGCTCCTTCCAAACAAAAGAGAAAATTCACAAGTCGAAACCTTTACGCACCGACTATGCAGTGTCTTTTGACCTACCTCTCTATGTTCCACAGTATCTCCGTGCGTTTCTTTGTAGATTTGAAGAGCTCGGTTAGCTAACTCTGCACTTTTAACGGTTTCTCCGAGTATCAGGCAGACCTTGCTAAGCCTCTTTAGAGTATTAGCTACCTCTATAGAGAAAAATAGTCGCATGGTTTATACTTCGTCGTTTTTTTCGACCGAGAAGATCCTGATTTAAGTTTACATAAAAAAATTAAATGCACCGGAAAGTTGAGATCTTAAGGGCCTCCTCGGCTTAGCAGCTTTTCTGGGTCCAATCTCGAGCCTAATCTGGGTTGAAGGGTAACCCCTCTCCAGTCAATCTTTTGCAAAAAAGAGCAGTTAAACGGGACAGATCCTTCCAACAAAATGGGAGATACCCTCTCACTCTTCGTTATGAAGTATGAAGGATGCCCGAAAATAAATCCATTTCTACGATTTAAGAGTATATTTCGTGCAGTTCAAAGTAACAATGCTGCCTATTACCTGGGTGGGAGCGAGAGTAATTGTTCATAACCCGTGTAGCGTTTAGTAGCTCTTTCTTGGCTTGTTGAACCATTCCCATCTGTAGGTAGCCATACGACAAGTAATTATAGTTTGCAGCTACAATGCGATGGTTAACACCGTGAATTTCCTTGTTTATAGCTAAGGCCTCTCTAAGATGATTCACTGCATCGTCTACATCTCCCACATCACTTTGTGCATGTCCTAGATTCAGCAATGTTGTAGCTCTAGCTGTAATAAAAAAGATCCTCTCAAGTTTACAAGCTCTCAAAGAATAATGCCACTGGCTAACGGTGCGATTAAGACATCTGAATACTTTAACCTATCTGGTTTAATCAATAACAGTAAAAGATAACATTGTATAGAATACGATGGAAATTAACAGCGACCTACCGGGATGACTTTTTGTACCACATTGTTCATTTGCAATTTTTTTAGCCTTTTTAGCAAGCTGAACACTTCGTTTAAAATCTCCCTTGTAGCGGTACACCACGCTCAGCTTTGATAAGATAACAGCACTGTAAATGTTGTTGTATCCAAACTTTTTAAGTGCCATTTGCAGGGAAGCTATGCTTTCATCTAGTTTGTCCAGGTTTCTTTGCACAGAGGCCAAACGGCTGAGTGTCACGCCAATCTGAAAGGTAAGTTTTTTAGATTGAAACCATTTACTCACTTGGTCTGTTCAGGCCAAATAATTACAATCGGTTAGATGTATCCTACCGGTTATGTTTAAAACAGCACTTAATTAGAACCACGTGGTTTTAGGTAATCATTTACATAACCTTCTTTAAGTTTTTCGACAATTCTATTTATACTTTAATTATGCCAGTTTATTCTAATATCACCCAAAATTTCTTCGATAGATACATGCAAAAAATATTGGTGTAAGCTTTCTCGCAAAAGACATTTCTTCTGGATACAATTTGGATATATCAACAAAGTTGAAATGGTAAATTAGCCACCGTAACGATTACAAAAGCTGACGTTTCGAGCGTTAGCCCTTCGTCGGAGCGAACTTCTGGATACAGGTTTCTTTCCCTCCAAACAAATGAAGTGAGAAAATTAGTTACGAAATTCTTCTTTATTGTAAGCATACTTCAAAATTTTGGTTCAAATTTGTTTCAACAAACATGAAAGACAAACTTCCCACTTATCGTGGAAAACATGATTTAGAGTTCAGTTTGTGTTTCATGAGTCTTGTATGAAATATTTTTGAATTTTTTCCCCTGGCTGATAAACAGGTTTTCTATTTTCCGTTTTCAATTTTGTTTGTCCTTGTTTATATTGTGAAGTTCGTCTACGCAAACGCTATAGAGGTTTTGCACAGCAGCCATGTTGGATGGCAGGAACAATGAAAATATTTTGCAGAAGAAAGGAAATTTTTTCCCATGGGTAAAATAATCTATTTTTCCTGCCATCCAACATGGCTGCTGTGCAAAACCTCTATTGACTAAAATTTCGTTTCGATCGTGGGCGTTCGTTCCCACCATAATTTGCGTCACGAGCACGCCGCAACTCTTGCATAATACTATCTTAGCCAAGTCACTGTGTTTATGATATCTACTCTGTTTTGCGCCTTTTAAACAACCTGTGAGAGTTAATGGCTCCTTCCCGTAATAGTCTTGCCATTCTGTCGCGGGCTGTGCTACAGGTAGTTGCGGGTACCGGTGCCCATGCTTGTTCTAGCCGCTCAAATAGTCACAATCACTACGCGCATGTGGTTTCTTAATTCGTTCCTCGGCGAAGGATACTCCTCCGTGTTTTTTAAAGATGATGCCAGCAAAGAATACCAACAAAGCCTCCAGAGGTAAGCAGTGACAAAATGTGTCTTTTGAATTATTGTTTGATCATATGTTACGAGAGACCAACTAGCGAAAAAGATGTGAAAATCTTAGGATTTTTAGCAGGCTAATAATGAGAAACGTGATAAGTTATCTATTCTATCCTATTAGTTCTAGATCCACATCTTTATCGGAGAGCCGTTTTCTACAGATATTTGAGGCATGTTAAGTTCATGTATATGTTACAGTGATGAATTAGAAAAACTGGTATCAGTCCGTAAGTTAACATTTCGTAGTTTTACGATCTGGGAAAAGATTCGCTTCCACGCTCAATATTTTAAACAAGTTTACAACTTAAAATCTACGTTGATATGTAGAGTTGAAAACAAACGCAAATCAATCGGCAGAGGAACAATTTCTGCGTTAACATCGTATTCATTGGTATTTTTGGCACGCACAGCCACATATCAAAAGGCGAATTAAGAACCGTTCAATTACGACATATAGGCCATGGGGTACAGTAAAGGGACAAGCTCAGTTTGTAGAAATTGTCGTCTCTGAAAAGCTTTTATCTCCGTTAGTGGTTACGTTTTCTCCATTTTGTTTGAAATAAAAGGAATAGAGTATCTTTTACGTACACAACAAATTACAGAGCTATTGAGACCAAAACCAATGGTCTGTCTGGTACAGGTTTATTAGTAACACATCCGAAGCGTAGCTCGATATTGACCAAATAAATGTTATAATGAAGGAAGAATAACAAAAATAAAAGCAATTGTTAAATACTTTATATTAGATCAATAATAAAGTGGAAGAAACTGGTTCACTAATTGAGGAGGTTGACGTGTTCAAGCTGCTTTAGCGTTGTTAAGTAGGAAGCACTTTACCTCTCTGCAAAAAATGACACTGTCCACTGTGTTTCTAAGAATTCTCGAGAGCTCATTGAAAAGAGCAACAGCGTAATCTTGAAAATCATTTGTTACCAGTTGGATTTGTAAATGGGTACCACCAGTAGATATTAAATTCCTAGATGGCTTTTGTACATTTAAGCGCAAATACTCAGGCCAAAACGGGCATTGTCTTTATTCTTGTACTGACGTCTTGAGGGACAAGACGTCATCTGCGATAGTTTATCTTTCCAGAGGTATTGGCACAACTAATGTTTTATGGTTGGCCTAAACATAAAGTTGAGCTCTCAAGGTGTAACTTTTTATAAAAATCGTTTTCGATTTTCAATAACCATTTCTCAACAGGGCCAGCCACATCACCGGCGCCATGGCATTCAAGTGGAGGGACGACTTCAAATGGTCATCCCACTTCCCAAGCTCTAATTCGAGCAAATACGTCTCAGAAAATAGATCACTTAAGGAAATGGAGTATTTCAACATATAAATTTACCAGACAGTATCTTTCTGAACGTTTTGGTAAAGGTACAAGGACTGTGGACAAAGAACTTGAAGGACAAATTCTTCTTTTAAAAGAAACTCAAGTTAAGTACGTTAATGTTCTAAAACTAGCGAAACAGATGACAAACCATTTAGAGAATATGGTTCAGAGTCAAAGAGGACTTTCCGATGCCTTTGCAGATTTAGGGGTGAAATCACCAGAACTCCAGGGTGACTTTAACTGCAATGCTGAGTACCAGAGATTACTGGTTAAGAATGGAGAAGTTCTTCTTGGGGCACTTAAGGTTTTTACGTCCAACTTGACGACTTTGGTGCACAAGACCATAGAGGATTCCATCATGACAGCGAAAGCTTATGAATTTGCCAGAATAGAATATGATGCTTACAGAACAGACCTAGAATCCATCCAAGCTGGACCAAGAACAGCAGCGACAGTTCTTAAAGCTGAAGAGGCAAAGCAGAAGTATGATGTCCAAAAAGACAAATTCGACCGACTTCGGAGCGATTTAGTGATCAAAATCAGATTTTTAGAAGAAAACAAGGTATTTTAGCTATTTTTTTCCAGCTTACGGTTCGCTTTCACAACACCGCAATAGGCTCAGTGGGTTGAAATGAAAAAATTCTCAATAAAATTTCCGTTTGAGAGTAAAACATTCATAAATTTATGCAAGGTTTCATCCGAAGCATTCATAAAATCTGAATTTCTTTGACGATACCACTCATTCCCATTTAATAACGGTATATCTAACCTGATGCATTTTCAATAATCAACAGAAATAACTTTTCGTGAAATTAGGACAAATTGGCGGCGTTTAAAAAATGTAAAATCCTAGAGAAGGACGTAATTTACGATTTCTTGTTTAAGGCCACAAATGCCTTGCAAAGTCTAAGCCAGAACTGTTTCTCTTGTATGAGCGTGCAATTCATATCAACTGTTTATCCAAAATAAACTGTGAGCGTTGCTTTGGGGGCTGTATTTCCGTGTCAGTGACAAATATCTAGCAGAATTCATAACAGGTATTGAGTACCAATGTTTCATTAATGTGAGCGAACAATTGTATCGAGGGATGCCTTATTGTATGTTGCATATTGCATGTGGTCATTTTGGATCAGTTTTGCTGTCTGTCTGTTTAACCTACTTCTTCAACAGGTGAAAGTTATGCATAAACAATTGTCACTCTTCCAAAATGCAACCACTGCTTACTTTGCTGGCAACAAAGAGGCCCTGGATGACAGTATGAAGGAATTTCATAACAAACACAAGACCAACGATGGCAAACAGCCATTTATCCTGGAACATTGAAGGCATGCCACCATAGCATCAGAATCAAACTAAGGGCACTATGGTACTCTCTTGAAAACCATGAAGGCGTTCTGAATTTGACGTTGAGATTTCAAGTCTTTCCAGCTGAGTTTATAAAACAAAGAATCGACATTTACGTCCTAGTTTGATGAAGTTATTACATATGCAGCACGGTTTTGTAGTTTTTGTAGCTTGTTAGATAATACTTTGCCACAATTACCCCAGACTAGGTTGCAGTAATCAAAGTGAGATTGAGCTTGTGAGTTGTATATATTGAGTAAGGTGGATCGAGGCACAAATGGCTTAACTCGCTTTATGGCTCCAATCGCAGAAGCGATCTTTTTACACAGTTTATCAATGTGGGAATGCCACGTTAAATTTTTGTCCATATATATCCAAAGGGATTTCACAGAGGAAAATTGCTCAAACGGAACATTATCAAGGGAGCATTCATAATTTACCCAGAGGGTGGCTATGATAATTTTTAGGGGGGGTCACTCTTTTTCCCTACTATGATTTAGGGGGGGCTGTGGAAAATTTCCAATAAAAATGACATGGAGCATAGGGGGTGCCAACCATTTTTTCCTGAAAAAGAAAAGGAAATGAAAATATGCTGTTGGACGCTCTTATAATTCCTGTCTTTTATTTCATTTCAACAGAATGTTGATACAGAACTAGAGTATGAAACTTGATGCATGACGCCCACTTCTTGTGCTACAAGGTCTCTTTGCGAGTGGCTCCAACTCACTCTCGTCACCCTCTTCACTCTCGCTCTCCTCATTCTCACTCTCCTCACACTCGCACTCCTCATTCTCACTCTCCCTACACTCGCTCTCCCCATTCTCACTCTCCTCACTCTCGCTCTCCCCATTCTCACTCTCCTCACCTCGCTCTCCCCATTCTTACTCTCCTCACTCTCGCTCTCCTCATTCTCACTCTCCTCACTCTGTGTTTCTTTCCCCCAAGACTACTTTCTCTCCAGTACCAATTCAGATAGTTAAATTTATTATAAGCCAATCATTCAATCAGCTTTTCTCAAGAATGTCCAGAATAGAACAATTTTGAATTAAAAATGCATAGAGATTTAATTGCACTGAACATTATGTTTTCATGAATTGATATCTTGAAATATCACCCTTTCATTAGTGCAAGTTGTTACTGATATACTATGTTTATTACTAATAAAGCTCAATATACCTGTCACAAGACTTTGATATAGCTAAGGGTGAGTTTGACATGTTGTACTTATGTGCTGGGGGAGGGGGGGCTATGATATTTTCCTTTGATAAATTGACATATCTTGAGGGGGGCTCAGAAAAAAACTCTGAGGTGATCGGGGGGGCTTCAAAAAATGAAAGGAAAAAAAATAAGGAAATCATCATAGCCCACCCTCTAGATGCTCCCCAAGGGAGAGTTCGAGTGTATCAGATGGAGTACTTAATCTTTGCCCGAAGCCGATCAACACAAATTCAGTTTTTGTAGCGTTCAAGGTAAGTCTGCTAGACACAAGCCATTTGCTTAGCTTTTCAAAGTCGTGTGATAGACTAGACTGAATCGAATGCAAATCAGAACCAGCATAAGTAATGTGGGTGTCATCAGCAAACATTCTAGACATGCTGAACGAAAGACAGGCAAATCGTTGATATAAATTAGAAATAAAAGAGGGCCAAGGATCGTTCCCCGTGGCACACCACATTTAGGAATGGTGAAATCAGAGAGGCAACCATTAACTGAGCACCGCTGTGTGCGATTCGTCGAATACGATTTAAACCGATCAAGAGTTTTACCTTGAATTCCACTCCGATTCATTTTAGTTGTGTCGAATGCGTTTTTTAAGTCGAGAAACACTACGGCATTGACGTAGCCACGATCGATATTAAACGCCCAGTTGTCAGTGACTTCTAGAGGTGCAGTAACAGTTGAGTGTAGAGACTGGAAACCAGATTGCTGTCTAGAGATGATTTCTTTACTATTTAAGAAGTTGTATAACTGATCGTACACAATCCTCTCGAACACTTTGGCGGAAATAGTTCGATAGTTGTTTAAATCAGATGACTCGCCCTGTTTAAACAACAGTCGTCAGGAAATATGCCAGACATCAGAGATTTATTAAACAGATCGCATAACAGACATTAAATGATATTAGCACACTCACGAATTAACCTAGCAGAGATATTGTCTCGTCCTGTAACTTTAGTTTTTGACAATCTATTTAGATGGGTAAAGACATCACTGGAAGGAGTGGACGAAAACAAAATTTATTGTAATTTTCAGTAATACTTTTTAATTAAATGGATTCAATTCATGTGTAATTATGCTTGGAGAATGAACAAGCATTTCAATTGTTGAGTGATGAATAAAGATTTTCACATAAAGAGGAACATTCATTAACTGAAAGCAACTATAGTTTCACTAAATGGAAATAACAATAGTTAAAGATAATGTATCAACAATTGCTTCCTCTTAGTGTTCATATACGAGAAAAAACATTTATATGTAAAGATGAAACAATTTTTAGTGTAATAGAAAAAATCCGAGCCGCAGATGGGACTTGAACCCACGACCCTCCGTGATCTAGTCGGATGCTCTAACCTCTGAGCTACTGGAGACTATGGTGAGCAAGGGTCAACTTGTGGGCCTCGACTGGAACCGCATCGCGCGGCTACACAGCCAAGTATTGGTAAGCACCGGTGAAAACTCACTAACAACATCACGCTGTCACATTAAGGCATATCAAGATGCGGCCAACCAACCTCCGAAGTGAGCATGCAAAGATGAAACAATTCTTAGTGTAATAGACAAAATCCGACCCCCAAGTTGACCCTTGCTCCGAGCCCCAAGTTGACCCTTGCTCCGAGCCCCAAGTTGACCCTTGATCCGAGCCCCAAGTTGACCCTTGCTCACCATAGAGTCTCCAGTAGCTCAGTGGTTAGAGCATCCGACTAGATCACGGAGGGTCGTGGGTTCAAGTCCCATCTGGGGCTCGGATTTTTTCTATTACACTAAAAAATTTATAAACAACAAAACTTCGTTTAAAAAATCACGTAAGGACGATGAGACAAGTCTATGTACTTTTATGCTTATCCTTCGATATGCTCCCCGCTAAGACATCGACGTTTACAAGTTTGCCTAAACGTAATTTATTGACGGTGGTTTCCCTGCCGTCTTGCCTCCTCTCCGTCGTTCAGCTGTTGCTTAATTAACTGCGGGTCTTGACATTTCTGTCTTTATAGCCGCTTTGAGGACACTGATTGTATTTCCCGTTATATTGAGTAAAGGGCTGTGAGCTGGCACTTTCTTAAGCTCTGGATTTTACTGCTAGTTCAACAGCGTTTCGAATTTCTGGAGCTCTATCGAATCGGCCGCTCGTCCGGGTTGAGTTGGCGTCGAACTATAGCCAGGAATTCATTGAATTCTTGTCCATTCATTCCACCAACTGCACTTGTGTAACGGACCAGGCCAGTGGTTGGAGACACGGCAAAAGTTATCGATACATTTCACCCACGCTGACCAAAGCTAATTCATCAACTCTGGCTTGCCTATGGCTTATAGCAGTATTTTGCATCTGTATTCATAGATAATTACGCAGTGATGAAGAATTCAGTTCGTCATGAACCAGTTTCTGTAATCAGCTCGACTTTGGATGAGATTCGGCCTGTTTCAGTCAGCTGGCAGTGGTCTTGCAAGTTTAATACGTATCAGTATACCATCAAAGGTTTTTCCAACGTTCTTATCGTTTACAAATGGCTTAGCTGGAAGTATTCTAGGAAGCCCCTGACTAACCTCACTAAAAATAAGCATGTAGTTGTCATCCATTATTTCATCGAGCCACTCCTTCCATTTCTTCATGCAGCTGGCACGTGGTCTCTCGTGCTTGTGTCCCTTCCGGATGTACATTGCCACGATGCTCCTAGCTGTGTTACGCTTTACACACAATGCATCCGCCACCAAAAGGTAGTCTTAATGAGGATCCGATCCTCATCGAAGGCTTCGAACCCTCTCACTGTAATTTCCCGTTGCTCGTTTGGGACACGATTTCTACGCTGCCATTCAACCCTATGCTCCCTTCCACGAGGAGATTTTTACGCACTGCTTTTTTTTTGTTTCGTATCTAAGCGTCCCTTCGAACTCAGGCAATAAAAGTTAGAAGGTGTATTACCACAACTGGAAGTCGAAATTGTAGTCTTTGGAAGGCCGGTGCAAAATTAGTGACAGAGTCTATTTTAACTAAAATACTGTAAACGACGAAAATCCACCACTGAGTGGTGAACCTGGGGAAAAGTATAGCAAACACGGAAACCTCTAAAAGTCAACGGCGAAATGGCGTAACACAGCTGACCCTGTAAAGACCTTGTAGTGGAAGAAGAACACTAGAATGCACTATTCTTATGAAGCCAGACCTCGAATTGGAGACGAACCAAAATAGATAAAGAATTAATTTTCAAAAGACAACAATGGAAGATATTCAAAAGAAGTCACTGGAGGAAAAATGATACTATCTTTACAGGAAGTCCTTACCCAAACAGAATATCGCAAAAATCATTATTTGCTGGTGAATTGTCAGCCGAGTCAGAGTAGGTAGAACAATGCGGAACTATTTCTGGATGACGAGTTTATATTTTGCTGAGTTTCACTGAAACCTCCTTGAAAAAACCCTAGTTTTCTTTCAAAACATCCGTGCAATTTGGTTGTCATCAGAATAAACTTCAAGTGAAATTACTTAAGCTAATCATGAACAATAAGCATCTCTCCAACTTATTCTAAATACGGGATAACGGACCGTATTAAATTTCTTTTGTGGCTGGACACAAAGGAGATTTCTGGAACAAACTAATAGTTAAATTGGAGCCCAATAAAAGTGCGCTGGATAGACGGCTGGATATTGGCCGAGTCCTTTTTTTGCATTTTTATGGTCCGAGACGAAGTTGAGGTCCATAAAAACCCCCCAAAAAGAACGAGACTAGCTTGGTCACTGAAGGATTTATTAGATAGCAAAAATATTTTGCTTCAATAAGAATCAAGAGTGGCTTTTTTTATTTTGAAAGCCAACTGTGTAGCACAATAAACCCAAGAGGATCATTTAATTTTTCTTACTTTTCACCGCCGATTTTTTGCGACCTCGTAGCCGACATAGTCCAAAAGTTACGAACTTTGTAAGTCGGCTCCGCGCACTCTTTTTCTTGCGCGGGGTCAAAACGGGCAATCCCTAGCGGGCAAGATGGGCACATCTTGCCAGCTCGGGTTACCAATCAGAAACCAGGATTCCCTTCATCTTGCCCAGGGGCACTGCCAGCGATATAATAAACAATAATATGGAGGAAGGAAAATTGTAACAAGGCTGGAAACTAACTTTATTTATAACTTAAAGGTAAAATTATTGCTTAGTATTACCCTTAGTTCACTTGGTGATTCGACGGATTCAAATATTTTGAGAGCCTTCTTTAGGTAGTCTTCTGCCTCAGCATACCTTCCAAGGTAACGATATGAAGATCCCAATGCACTTAGGGTGAAACCATACTCCTGTTTGAAGTTTTCTTTACCGTCGTAAATCTTCAGGGCTCTTTGGATGAAGTTACTGAGATAAAAACGATTTTTGTAAATACATTTGAAAGAATTACCCGGACATACTATTCGTAACCTTCATCTAATAATCAGTGTCAAACCCCTTGCAGATCTCTCGCCAGCCTTCTTCGCTCAAACCTTCAAAATATCACGCAGGTTTAAACATCTAAACATTTTTGCCAAAGTATTTGAGAATATTTCGAATTTGCCGCGAAGGTAATTTTTGAAGAAAACTTGGCAGAGGCAATATTTCGCTGCCTGCCAAGTATCTTTCTGGCTGTTGAAAAAGTGAAAACTTGGAAAGATTCTTGCTGTTGTTACTGATCAGACGGTGACTGATTTTTCAAATTTCTGATCATTTTCTGAAGATTAAAGAGTCGCTGGATCTTTGAAAATGATTTATGACAATAACTTACTGAAGTTTATCTCAAGGAAAAATATGAGCGTTTGCTAAATTAGTCTTAGATGGACGATTCTCGATCCTCAGAGGCAGCTGTACTTTTGCTGTGTGATAATTGATCATAATAAATTGTCTTCGATACTTACATAGCTTTAGTGTGTCTTCCCAGTTCGTTCAATACATTTCCAAGACTTCGTAAAGTCAAACCAATCTGTGGATTATCCTCTCCTTCGTAGAACCGCTTTTTCTCTTGCAAGGCTATTTCTAAGTATATTTCTCCTTCCCACGGGCTCGCGAGGTGACTATAAATTTGTAAATTAACCCATAAAGCATGCGATTTATCAAGAATCTGTGCTTGTAATTCAAACAATCAGTCGAAATACGCAGTGGTAAATTCGAAACTTATGAGAAACAAAATAATTAGTGACAAAATTGACCAAACAATATTGAATTTCGGTCGGGCAAAAATCAATGTGCTTTTTTAAGTTATCGTTATCTTTATGAGGATTGAAATGCTTCTCAAAACCTAGTTCCTTTTCATTTCAAGGTGTGAGTACTGCTTATTAGAGTTGGTTAGGGAAGAAATTCTATTCTCATCTAAAAATGTGTTCACAGATTTTTAGAATGTAAAATGAAGGCAAAACAGCGTTCATTTTTTAAAAGATGATATATGTTATGCGAAATATGTTCGTAAAATGAACACGTGATGTTGATGTTGAAAATTGTGCCTTTTCTGATTTCACGCAGAATAATTGGATTCGACTTATACCTGTTGCTATGGGCTTCTCCCATAAAGTGCCACACGTTAGCCAGGTCAAGTTGCACATTCTCCTCGCCTTCGTAGTTCTTAAAGAGATCTTGTGCAATATTTAGGTTCTCCATTGCCTCTTTAGGCCTGCCAAAGATGAGCAAACCTTCTCCAAGACAGGCATGTCCATCAGCCATGACGAGGGGGTCGAATTCTCCTTCTAGTTTTAATTCGTCTTTGAGCTTTAAGAGAAAAAATTTTTTAAACAGTATAGTTTACGTCTTAAATGTATCATTTACCCCCACTCACCTTGTCCTTGTCTATGGAAGGCCACACCTGATCCGATTTAAATCGGTTCCTAGCTGTGTATTTGCTACAAACGCTCCTATTTAATTTAATCAGCAAAAATGATGGCTCATTTGAGGTTGTATTGACAAATCTGTTTAATCTTTAAAAAATAGGACACAATAGCTCGCAGGGACAACTACGAAGTTTGTACAGTAACTGATCCTGCCTTTCATTTCCTCGCAACTGGAACACGCCAGATTCATTGAAAACGCGGTTTATTAGGTCATTTCTGTTTTCTTTTCATTTTGTTTTCTCGGCCGTGTAATTGACGGCGCTGCTGGACGACTTTTCCGTTTCCCTTTTGTGCGTGAAAGAAACCCAGCACTTTTTAACCCAGCTTACATCTGCGTCGAAAACAACACGACTGAAAATATTAAGAATTTTTTCCAGTAACACAGTCACATATCCGAAGCTCACTGTCATTTGTGCTCAGATTTTGCAAAAAAGAGTAAAAGCAGCGAATTTCTTAGGCTTTTTCTTTCCAAGCTTAGATCAGTAGTAGGTTGTTACAGGAACAGCTGCTTCATTGCATACCTTCACGGCTTCCTTTAGATGCGGTAAAACGAGGCGTAGCAATTTGAAGTCTTTATCCCTGTTGTTTTGTAAAGCATCTTTGCACACATCGCTTAGGCATTTTATCACGTGAGAGACATCGAGACACGACAAAGTAGGAGTGTTTATGTTGACTTGTTTGTTTTGCAGGAAGGGAAACTTCAATATGTACGTCCATGTTTTTTCTACGAAAATAAGGAAAGAGAAATAGTAAATGAATAAAATCTTCGTAATAATGGAAAATACAATTTATATACGCCAAGAGAGGATAAAGAGAGAGAGCATGTCTTGATAAATATTTAAAGGATAAAGGTGTGTCAAAAAAAGTAGAAAAATTGCAATTTTGGAAAAATAAAGCCTCGAATTAGTACTGGGGGAAAATATATATTCATAATCTGAGCAGGTTTTGCCTCATCATAATCATTTCAAACATAGAATACTTTGGCTAAAGAAAGAAGAAGGTTTGGATTAGCAGTTTACCTTCAAGGTTTGTCTTTAATGAAAGATAAATGTCTTTCATTGTCGAAACTTGTGTTATTTTTCTAAATTGCCGATGTTAGGTTTTATGGGCATCACACACAAAAATTACGTTCCCAAGTCATCTTTGCATATTCTGTCAGCTATTGCTTTCATTGTTTGAAAGAGCTGAACGATTGTTATAAAGTGTTACTTGCAACTAACCAGTATCACTTTGGCTTTGTCCACTGAGTATATCTCTGAGCATGGCAAGGTTTCTAGGATGAATGGTTACCACTTTGATTTCCTCTCTCTCGGTAAGATCGACAAATTTTCCGAAATTTGCTTCTTCCAATGGACCTGCAATACCTCTCTCTAGAATTTCTAGGGGCAAGTAGTTCTCACTTGAACAGCAGGCCAAAAATTTTAATAGCTGAGGATAAATGAGAACCAAACGTGTTAGTGATTAGAACACACTGCCTAACCGACATATAGAAGAAAGACCAGCCCAACCATTAATCTTAGTAGTCACGAGGTCGCCCGATAAAGTTGAAAAATATTTTGATCTTACCTGCGTTTGATTTTCACGTGTTAGCTCCATCATCATCATCATATATTTAGGGAGTGTAACACCCTCTGGTGGTACGGGTAAATTTCCAAAAGTTAGTTCTTTGTTCGTCTCTTCTTTGTATTCTCTCATAAAAGTTCCTAACCTGAAATTGGAAGCATTGAAATACAGATTTACAAACTCTGAAGATGTTTTCGAAAGGAATGGCTACTGATGAGTTACGGGTTAACACGAATTGATAATTTGTGGACAGTATAATATTGACTGAGTGGTCAATTCATTGATTAATTGCTTGACTGTGGAGAAGATTATAAATAACTTTCAAGGTTCTCGACTCGATCGTTTTAGCTTGAGCTTTTACTTTGAGGATAAAGGAACTCACTTTGCTATATCCTGGGGAATGCAATGCGCCAGATTTGCAAAGCATTCAGCAACAGTTAAAGGAATACCACTTTTTTTCGCAAGAAATTTAACTGCATCTTCTTTCGTCATTTTACCAATGAACACCTTCGCCAACGGATAGTCATCTCCTTCCTCTTGTAATAACTTGGAATCTGTAGTAGTCATGATGATCAGACCATTTCCAAAGCTTGGATCACCTGGCGACGGCCAAAACTGTTGGTGACTTAACCTATCTTCTTTGACACCCTCTATCAATAGTACCCAGGAACCTTGGCATCTCAAGGTCTTCATAACTTCTTCGTAAATTTGTTTCAAAGGTTTGTCATAGGCATTTTCTTGGCATTGATTTTGAAGATTCATGTGGTATTGCCTTCCTTCTGATGTTCTGCTGAAAAGTGGTAGTTCCTGATCTGCAACTTTGGCCTGTTCAGTCAAACCGATTTCTTTGGCAAGACTACAGAAACTTTCGAGCATCATTGCTTTATTGGTTGCGTTAATTGTCCACAGGATTGTTGGTCTGTTTCGATAATTCCATGCTTTGTTCCAGAAGAATCGCGAGCGTGCAGGCTTAGTGTAAAGTTGATCCATTAAATTTGCTGCGCAATGCACTTTACCGTGTCCTGCTGGCCCATGTAAAATCAGGGTCTTCACGCGCGAGGAATTACCATTTTTGCAAAGGCGTCTCAGCGTATTCATAACTTCTTTATCTTCTTTACGCTGATAAAATCCACGACGAGGTGGAATCCTGACAGCATGAACTTTTTCTGGAAATTGGTGCCTGATTAACTTAAATAACTTGTTACTCTCTTTCAACAGCTCGAGTATCGTCTTCATCTTGTTTTCCTGAAAGTCAAGTTTTATCAAAGTTTTAGTCAGTCTCAGTTATTCTCTAAGTATTTGCTGCTTTGTTTTGTTCTCTTTTTTTTTTCACTTACTTGAACTATCAACTTAGTGTAAAGTTCACAAGTACTACGAAAAAAGAAAATCGAGTGTTTTAGACCGTGCATGTATAACTGACGACAATTCCGTACAGCTAAGACATCTTGGGGTAAACAAACGGAACTTAATGCAAAGACCTATAGTACACCTCCAGACTTTTACCTACACAATTTTCAGATCTTTGGAATTACGCAGGATATATTCCTATGATTTCACAGCTATTTGATTGTTTTTTCACTCACTTTCCATAGTTTTCTCACGTTGGCTGCTTTCAACATTCTTTCATCCAAAGGGATGTGCAGGTGGAGCGAAAGAAAAACTAGCTTGGGCATTCATGGTCGGATTGCATGTTTATAGGTGTCGAAATATATAACCAAGGGGATGAAATCGTTCCGAATCAGTGAAGTTCAACGTCAGTAAACGCGTGAATTCTGAAGAGGAATTTCAAATAGACTCCTCTTTGGTTACGTCAATCTTCGTGTAATGATTTTCGGTTTTCAAAGAGCAAATGGTGACGTGAAATATCGAAGTTCGGTTTGTGATCTTTCAGTGTTATGAACGCGTCTTTGTTGGCTGTGGTGTCCCGCCACCCTGTTTACTTTACCGAGACGACGGACTAGCCATTTCCAACGCCTCACCGAGGGAAAGTGAAAAAATCAAAAAGGAAATATAGCGCATCTTCAATCACAATGGGTTACGGATCACCATCGAAGCCAACAAACGGACCAACAACTTCCTAGACGTCACTTTTAACCTGAACAAAAACACTTACCAGCCCTTCACAAAGCCTAACACCACGCAAAAGAACAAATCACCGCAAAGAACAAAGCCGCCGAGATCAACAAACGACTGTCATCCCTTTCATCCGATAAAGCATCCTTCGACTAAGCCGCCCCTCCATACCAAAAAGCACTCGACGAATGTGGATACCGGCACACCGCAGATGACACCAATACAAAAGACAACAAAACTTGCAACTGCCGACAAAAGAACACTTGCCCACTTAACGGAAACTGCCTCCAAACATCAGTAATCTACCAAACCACCGTCACACGTAAGGACAACAACACCAGTGAGACATACATCGGACTCACGGAAAACGACTTTAAAACTAGATACAGAAACCACACCGCATCATTCTGACACATAAAACACAAAAACTCTACCGAACTCAGCAAACATATCCTACAACAGCGCAGGTAAAAGATGCAACCTCTGCCTAAAAGAAAAACTACTCAATCATCTGCCGACTTGAATTATCATCACTCCGCAATAAACGTAATGAACTTGTGTCCTCATGCCGCCACAGAAACAAAGCGTTACTGCCCCGTTGTATTTTTCTAAACCAACATTGGGCTACGTATTGCGTATTCATATGAGCAGTCGCCTGAAGTACTTCTCAGTTCTGTGGATTCCTATGAATTTCGCACATAGCACTACTGTAGAAAACGAGGGGAAAAAAGCGTGCAATCACGTGCTGTAACGCTACCTTAAAACAAATTCGAAATGTGCAACCATTTTTGTGGAGGGGTTAAGTTTCCAAAGAAACTGTGTTGCTGCGTCGGTGGGGGTAACGAGGTAATTTGGTTATATCAACTAAGTTGTAATTGTAAATTGGCCACCTAACGAGTTAAAAAGCTGACGTTTCGAGCGTTAGCCCGTCAGAGCGAATGGCGATGGGCTAACGCTCGAAACGTCAGCTTTTTAACTCTTTACGGTGGCCAATTTACAATTTCAACTCAGTTGATACAACCAAATTACCCTTTTGTGGAGGTTCGAATGTTTTAGTTTTCGAACGGTCTAGTGAACTTGATTTCTCGTGATTTCGACCCCGCTGAAATAGTGTTCTAACGGAAAGCTGGAGTTCGAAAAACATCAGAAACATTCCAATATTCCGGCAAACGCTGCCGACGGTTAAAATATGTACAACAATTCCAAGTCGTTACCATGTTTTTAAATTTGACTCCTAAGTGCTTTGAAATTCCTTGTCTAACTGACGTTTTGGGGACCGATGCTCTTTCCTGTAATTCCAATCTTTGCGGTGTTTTTAAAAGAATTTTTCCATAGCCAACAATTCCCTTGTTCTCCACAGTGCAGACAGGGAGCATTTGCTGGTTTGACAGAGTCAGCTGGATCACAAGTGTGACATCATTGCGGAAGGGAAAAATCCCAGACTGAGTTTCAATTTCGATCTATATTTTTTCCCTTACCATTATAGTTTGAGTAATCAGATTAGAATTCTCGCGTGAATAAGACTCACACATTAAACTTTCCAACTACGTTTGAAAGATTTGCCATCGGACGCTAAACATTTAGTATACTTAAACCAAATGCTTCACGTCCGATGGTAAAGTAGACATAAAGATGTCTATGTTTAATCCATAATTAGTCTCCATAGTGACTTTATAAATATTTGATTTAACTTTAATTTTTACTACCTTTCACTTCTGACTCCAGAAATTAATGAGGATCCAGTAGTTCCTCGCCCAAAAAGAATTTTTTTCAGCCGTTATATCCTTAGAGAAATCGAGGGAAACCTATATGAAAAGAGAGTAAATCGTACAAGTCAAACAAGCATGTGGAGAGAGTTCGAGAAAGGGTTCGATCTGTCGATCGAAACTTTAGGTTTATTGTAGTTTACCTTGTTTTTTCCTCCACATTTCCAGCTGTGTATGAGTTTTGACAATAACGAAATACCTCACGATCCGTTTGCTCACCTTGACACTTCATCCTGCTTTGTGAGATCTAAAACTGCCCCAGTCAGTGAACTATGTGAAATAAATTCATTGTGCACCGAAAGTGAGTCTTTGTCTCGAGGAATATACCCATACAGTTCTCACGTGACCTAATGACCTCTAAACCGAGAATATGATTTCAGAATCAATAAAAGCGTCTTCACGTCGCTGATCAACAGCGCCCCACCAGGAATTAATTCTGAAATGTAAATATTATTATATCCCAAAGTATAACTTCATTTACTGTCCCCAATTAGCAAAAGTGCTCAATCATCTTGATGCTAAAAATAAATTTGATGTATGTAAGTATGTGGAGGTTGAGCAAAACAATATAAGAAAAATTCCACACGGAAATATGAAAAAAGACGTAAGCAAAATAGTAACTGAGACTTACCATAATGATTAATACTGCGTCGAAAAATATGATAAATGGAGCAAAAAAGGATTTAACGGCATTGAAAGAAGGAAAGGCAGTTGAGCCCTGTGGAATAGGTAAGCCAATGATAGGATTCCCACAATATTTCATTCCACGATTATCCCTTTCCACTTCCTCAAGCCATATTGCCACTGCGACAAGTGAATCATTAAAACCAAGAGGCTCTTACCTTACGTCATTAATTTAGTGGAACGAGTTTTTCTCAAGCGACTGGAGGACTACGGGTTTTACACAAATTTAAGCGTTCACAACCGGTTACTCTTTCATTTTTTATTAGTTGTATTAATAAAAGTTGGAGCTCATTCGCGTCGTTTTAGTGGACATTTTGTTAAACTGTCACGCACACCACTGTCACGCACAGCAACCCATGCGTTGTATGCAAATTTAGGCGACTTGAGTACCTTCTTTGATGTTATATTTAGTTGTACTGCGTTGCTCTTTTTCCTTGAGTTGCTGGGGAAATATGGTTTTGATCCGAAATATAATGTGGCTCAAACTTGGCACTTCAGGAGGGAAAGCGAAGTGTTATCTGGTTTTGCTGTGGTGGTCAGGTATCGTCTAGCGTAACTCTTTATTTTGGAAAGTGAATATTGGAATTCTGTTACTCAGTTCCGCGTTGTCGTAACTGTCACTGGCAAACAGAGTGCCTATTCGCAAACTTTGAGTTAAGTAATTTTTTACATCAAAAAAATTAAAAAGCTGTGAAGGGGCTGTACTCAGTCTCCATCATAAGAAAATCAGAGAATCATTTTAAAGGCGACTTAAACGAGCATGATAACTTCGATATCATCAATATCACGCACGCAGCTAAACCATGAATGCATCAAAGATTCAGGGATGTCATGTTATCGGTACTATCGAAAAGACACTTTTTTAAAGATATTTGATATGCCTAGGGGTTTTCGTAATTGACAGTAACTGTCATACATTAATGTTACTCGACTTGATTCTTTGATTCTTGTCTCTGTGCCTACTTTTAGGAATGTCATATCTTTGCAAGGGTTAATTTCAAATACAAGTCGAGTTCGAGTCACGATTTAACCTAGAGTCAAGTTAAATCTGTCTCTTTTTTCATATTTGGTATTGTGGTTTATTTCCCGCGTGGAAATGATTCCTGGATTAGCTACCAAGAAGCTATTGAACAAAGTAAACGATTACCCATATAATCATTAATTTTTTTTTCTCAAGTTCCGTTGTATGTTACTTAGTTGCAGCAGAGGCCATTTCCTTTTCAACATCACATTGAGAAATTTCACGTTGGGTTTAAACACGATTCAGCAATACTCGAGCGTCAACATATTGCATCCATTGGATGTCGGGTAGGAAATAATAAACATCAAACACAATTCTTTCTCGGCTGCCAAACTGGTTGCACACACCATCATCAAAAGCATTCAACAAATAGAATCAAAATCAAAGTGAAAAACGAAGATGAATATTCAATCAGTCTCGCTCTCTCGGGAGGTATTCGAAGAAATGTCTTACTTAAATTTATAAGGCCTTGTAGGGAGACGCCATGTTTGTGTCCCTCTGAAGGGTATAAATTAATGGCGGCTCAGTGTAAGCTAACAAAAACATATGTCATCAAGTTTTGCTACAAAAAGTCTGTAGTCGTCTTCCGAGGGCTCACAAACATCTATATGAGTACTAATTCTCATGAAAGGACTGTTTAGACGGCGAAATATCAGCGGATAAGTCACTTTTTTTACCCAACGTTACATCATTCTCGGCCGCCATTTTGATATCTTGTCACGCAAAAACTTAGAGATTTAACCTTGCTTTATCACAAAACGAATAACCCTATCAAACTGAAACTTTGTAAAGAGATAAGTCTTCAGCTGTTCTAATAACTAACTGAACTAAAAACTCAAAAGGAACGATAATTCCTGTTTTTTAATATCCATTGTCACGTGAGAACCAAGACTGACATGGGCTCGAATTGATTTGATTCAGGTTCCGATATAATGCCTTCAGTGATGAAGAACACAAATTTCCTGTTCGTATGTCTCAAGGCTTACTTAAATGTTAACTCCCATCCCATTTTGAAAATCTGAAACTCTAGACTGATATGTCTAATAAACGAATACTTACGTTTCAATGTTCAGATCTAAATAAGTTATTTATTTCGCAACTGTTATTTGTGCGCATCTTTTAAGCTTGGATATTTCACAGTTTTCTTAAACTGATATATAATAACGGTGTTGCATCTTCCTTCCATCTTCGTGATAAACTATTATGAAATTACTAAAGTGCTTTTTTACTTTACTTATAGCATTTGTGACAAGAACGTCAAGATCAAATGAAGGTATTCTATTCCTTGATAATTTTCATCGACTCTTCAACAGAGTTGCTTACATGCCAATTTGCATGACCTAATTAATTGATGTTTTGGATATATTATTGAGTCACAAATACCATATAAATCAAAATTCTAGCAACAAACAAACGGCATTTAAATTGTTAAGTGTAAAGGCTTCATCTTGTCACTTCGAGGAGGTTAACCGCTAATAAATCTTTTTTTAAATTATTTAATATGATTATGAAAATGATAATAATAATAATAATAATAATAATAATAATAATAATAATAATAATAGTAATAACATATTTAGATCAGACACTCAACATCGGACATGATGTCACTGAATCGTTATTCATTGGTTTGTTCCTTTTGTATTTTATGATCAACTTACCTGAAGTTTGCAATGAGTTTGTTTACCTTGGAGGAGATTTTGGGACACATAAAGGAAGTTTCTCAAGTCCTGGCTATCCCACAGAGACTTATCCAAATAGAGAGCGTTGAACTTGGATAGTCAAAGTACCTCTGGATTACCGGGTAGCACTCTACTTCAGCGATTTTGATGTGGAATCATGCGCCACTCAAACAGAAAATTGTACCTGCGACTACGTGGAAATTTCTGATGGACAACTTTTAATTGATAGGCGGATTTCAAAATTATGAGGAAATAAAATACCTCCGAACGTTTTATCCAGTGGGCGATTCCTCAGGATTGACTTGGTAACAGACGCAACAAATCCGATGAAAGGATTTAATGCGCACTTTTACTCTGTATCTTCAGATGGGTCCACACTGTCTACCGTAGATGTTCAGAAAAATCCAAAATCAGTACCACCTGCCACCGACACACCTAAGAAAGGTAATAATTATAGTTAATTGCCAAAAAAGTTGTTACAACAATCAGACTTTTGTTCACCTCAGGCGAGTAGAGAGTGATGTCATTTACTGGTAAGACTTAATGTTCTGATTCCAAGTTATCAATCAAGGTGTTAGAGTTTGACTCATCAGATGCTTTCGTTAGAGGGAGGTTACAGCTCACCACAGGCCATAAATATCATTGATCCCGAACTGTGCTGGACGTTCAATCGAGAGGTCAATGAGCAGTACCCCGACTAACGTCATTGTATCATTTTACTGAAAAGCAAAACAAAACAAGAGAATACGCTGTTGGGGGGTTTTACCAACTCGCTTGGACGAATTAACGAGAGGTACCAAGACTCTGTAATTTTCTTCTTTATTTCTACTCTTCTATTGTTGCTACTACCTTCTATTACCGCCGCTATTTCTCTTCCATCTTTTAGCAAGGAGTGCCCACGTATTAAATGCAAAAATCACAGACATGTTTGGGTTAGCTGACCGTGGGAGTTTCCATAGTGCATTCGTTGTTTTGCAAAAGGGGGAAATTGGGTGGCTCGTTCAGAAGCACTTGGCGAGCACCAAGGAACCAATTAAAAGCCCATATCGTGTTGCGCACGAGAATCACGCGCACAAAAAAAAAAAAAACCAGGATCTTATTGTGGGTAAAACTCAAGGCCAGCTTTACCAACCCAATCATGACCACCTATGAAACTAGCTATTTCCAACCATAACAAGCGATTAAAATGTCTAGCACGGTAAGAAGGAAATCGCGAACTGAGCCAAGTTCGAACACACACTAAAAATAAAAGATCAAAACTATAGATCTACCAAAACAACAACGTAGACGCAAAAGGCGAGACTCATCAAAACAAAAGGTAAATGTAAAAATACACGAAATAGCAATCCTTTAAAATACTCTACAACAACGCTCACAAAATAAAACGAGAATCCGTGGAAACCATCGTTCGTCTCGTCGATTTAGGTCAGTTAGGGTGTGTTAGGATTCTATCAGCCATGTTACTTTCTATAGTAAAATTTCGGAGGGATACTAAGGAGCAGACTATAATGGTACCATACGAATCATGACAAACTTATGGCACGAGTGCAAAGGAAAATTTAATCTTAATTAGAGGAAATAAAGTTCTGACCCTAATTGATAGGGAAAATAAGATGATAGTTGTTTACTTTTCCGCTCAGGTGGCAGCAGCACGACAATGATTGCCGTGATTTGCAGTCTTCTTGGTGTCGTTCTGATCGGGGTTTTTCTTCTGCTGGTCCTTGTTAAGAAAAAACACGCTCAGGACAATCGACGAAGATCCCCACAGTTGGGCAGGTCCGTTTCCAGTACTACGTCTCAAAGGAACAATTTGCCTTCAGAGCCTCCTCCACCATATGCATCTGTAGTAAACGCCTCTCCCACAATTAGATAAGAAATAAGAAAATGACTAGGGTTTTGTCTACGGCACAAAAATGGTTGATCGTGTGAACAGGAAGCTACTACAGGTGAAGGCGGGCTTCAACCGTCAAAAGAGTTGAAGCCCGGCAACTCACATTCACTTGGAAAAGATGAAGGCACGGTCAACACTTGATAAGAAACACGACTGAATGGGTATACAGGTAAAGATAAAACAACTACAAAAGCTTTCAACTAGTTCATCGTATTCAAAGTGAAATACAGACAAAAATCAAGCGTTGCTTTTGAAAATGCTGCCATTAATATTTTTTGTTTGCGCTAAGAATATGAATACAATAAAATCTTGCAAATAAGCATCATTTGTTGGTAGTTTTTTTTTACTCTAATCCATTTAGTTACTGTGTTCAGAGGATGTTTCTTCACCTGATTTTTAGTCAAATCAAATTTATGCTTTTTAAAGGATCAGGTAAACACGCCCTCTTCATTTTCAATAGTACCCTCGTGTTCAAGAAAAAAAGTCCCTTTTCTTAGTTGATCAACTTGATGTCATTTTGCCAGTATGTGATAATCTCTGTGATTAACCGCGTCTGTTCTGCTGTGAAATTCTTCCTGTTCCAGTGCTCAACCTTGTTCTAGCGGTTGTCTCCCTTACAACGGTCACCTGCAACACACTTCAGCTCACCTGACTAATTCACACCATTGAAGAAATTACTTTGTCGCAATAAGAGTAATGGACGCAATGGCATGACTGGATATGAGACGTTGCACGCAGGTTTCTTATGACATGATTGTTCTCTTTATGAAATTCCAGATTATGATTATTACAGATAGTTTCTAATCTGTAGAATCGACGAGGGTCAAAAGCTTAGAGACATTTTAGCGGATGTTTTTTTTAATGAAATACCGTACGAGGATTAAGAATGTGCTCATTCTTAACTAAAATCATATAATACATGAATTTCCAATTCACAAATGAGCGCACATAACATAGCGCTACTTATAAGATTGACAGAGGATTGAAAAGCTTGTTTCAATAAAAAAATAATTGTTTCGCGCAAAGCTTTTGATTCTCGATCTTTTTCTTTAGTTACAAAGTTTATTTTGATGCTCACGTTCTGATATTGTAATACAAAAATCGATCATCTGTTTCATAACGTCCTTAAGAAACTCTCTCAAGATTTTCAGCCTTAAGCACACTAAACAGTCTTAGGGTAAAATAGCACTGTGAACCAACTTTCCAGCTGCCTGACTCATGCATGCAAAATAAATAACAACGCTTATGATGACGCTTATGATGCACTTGCCATACATTCTGTCACGTTTCCAAAAAATTTAAATAGGTGTTCGCGTAATGAGATTAATGAGTGGTATGTTGCTCGCACCAATCAGATCGCCACATTTGGGTATCTAACTTTTTTTTCAAATGGAAGAGCTCTTAACCTAAACCCTGAAATTATTCGACTTGATATGGAACGTTTAAAATAAAAACGTGACTGTGGTCATACAATCATTTTGTAAAATGTAACGCTTCTGTATCTTGAATTAGACTTTAAATCACCCGATTGTATGGCAATAGTCCTATACTCTTTCTTATTTGTTTCAATATTGGTTTGAGTAAATTTGTAAAGTTTATCGACTATGGGAAAACCTCGGCACGACTTTGTTCGAAGTGACGTGTCCCTGTATGTCGCAAGCGCAGACCCTTGTCAAGTGTTTAGGAGAGAACGTGACGTCATGCATGTGTGATCGCAAGAAACGAAGACATGCTCGGAACTCTTACCAAGCGAGGTTTATTTTACTTTAATCCTCGCGTTGGCTGTACTGGAAAATAATATCATGAGTACAGATACGCTACTGGAAAAAGACCGACCCGACTACGACACTGACGGCGTGTTATGTTTCGTTGCTGTCGTTGAGCGCTTCGTGAAATCCGCAACAGTTTTGGAAGAAACAGTTCTGTTTCCAAGCGTCTTGATGGATTTATCTGTGAATGCTCTTGAAGCAAAGATAAATCCGAATGAAATATATCTATATAAAGAATTGGATTTGAGGACATTTTGCCGTATGGTTAAGTCGTTGAGGATTCAACTTTCGCAAGGATGTAGTTTCATCGAGGAAGGCTTGGAGGAAAATATGCAAATAAGACACAAAGTGGAAGAACTGTGTTCACAATTGAAGTCATTAACCCAACATGCTAAGTATCTCAGGTATGCTTCAGAGGTAATAGCTTTGGCAAACAAACCAGTTTCTTTCCAAGAATACACCGCACAAGCATGTGAACACATGCTGCTTTGCGAGGCTCACTCCACTTGTAACTTGCGTGACACTTTGAAAATGTTTCTAAACGTGGTTGAAGAAATGGAGAAGGAAACTTTGTTTCCTTGCCTTTTGAAATCCTACAGAACACTTGATTACGGTTGTAGCATGAAATCAGAACAGAATTTAAATGATGTGTTTGTTAGGTTACTTCAAGCAAGAAGCGTGGTGCAGGTGCCTTCCTATTGTGAGTATTTTGATGATTCCGCTCTCTGTCAAACTGTGACCAAACTGAAAAACATTTTCTATTTCTATGCCATTATGATCGAAGAAATTGTGGTCATGTATCGGGAAAAAGTCCACGAGGATTATTAAAAAAAGGCTAGATTTTATGCATAGAAAGGAAAAGGGTCATATGAGAAGGAAACTGAGTTCATGAGCCCACTCCCTGGGAGACACTCAATCAATTTTTTTTCGGGGTCTTGCTGAATTTAGTACAGTTTCGTGTCTTGCAAGCCATAATGCCCTTCGCTTTGATAGGGTGAGAACTTGAAAATGCGCGCTGAAAATGCGTGTCACCTACGATTGTGTACTCCTATAAACTCTGCCCGTTATCTTGCGTGTGGCTACCTAAGATCGATACGCCGCAATTCATGAATTTTTTTTTTCTTATATCGGGTCAGAGCTTTTAGGTTTCGGCAGCATACCACACTTTAACTTTCCTCAAGTTCCTTACCCCTCTCCTCCAAGCTCATTCGGAGAAGAGAAACTTGAAAACATGGCGTTGTTCCGCTGACTTTCTCTTGATCACAACACTGGTTCAGAGCGAGGTGATTATCGGTACTACGTACTGATAGCATATATAATCTTGACGATGCACAGTCACTGCTTCAGTTTGAAAGGAGACTTTCTAAAGCCTTGGGGTCTTTTTAAGTCCTTTCTAGGTCAGGCTCTTTATATCTCGCATCCTTTAGAAAAAAAAAAACAAGATATATATTACCAATAATTACTAATTGTACAACAGACTACGGACCATGAAATGGCTTATCAATAATTTATTTTTCTGTTTCTGTTATCTAAATTTTTACTTGTACTACTTGTGAGGGAGGCTAAGCTTACAATTCTTAATGGTTTTATTGAGTTTCTTCGCTAATCTTTATTTTGTTTTCTTTTCATCAATTATTGTAAATTGTAGTAGTTATACATAAGAGCAAATAAAATAAATAATGAAAAGTAAGGAAACATTTAGAGATATCGCAGTGCAGTTTACCGGTGAAATCTTGAGCAGTTGTTTGAGAGTTTTGGGTATTTTTTTTTATGAAATTATTAAACTATACCTCTAATGTTGCTCGGAGCAGTAGTTGAACCGCTGAGATGAAAGTGATCTTCTCAGTAATGAACATTGCTGTGGTGAAAATAAGGCCTAACTAAAATTCAGGTTTGTACGGGAGTGAAAACCATGACCTCTGCAATACCGGTACAACGCGATACAAACTGAGGTAGCAAGCCAACTGGGAGCTGGGTAATTTTCCGGTTCATAATCAATCCGTAATGTGATGAATGAACGACGAACATATGTGATTAAATGTATTCAAACTGCAGATAATTAGCTCGGTTGGTCCATATTTTCATAAGTTTGGGACAGAAATCCATGAATTCATAGATTTTCTCAACTCCACATGATACGGTAGCCCACAACTGTCACGGCAATAGCATATTGCCGTGACAGTTGTGGGCCACCGTAACATGATGCCTTGACATATAGTTTTCCGCTTTTATGGGAAAATTCACTATTTGGCGAGGGAATTCCGCATTTTAAAGAAGTGTCTCTGTAAGAATCAAACATCTTGGGAAATGAAAATTTTCAACCCCCCCCCCCTTTTTAATGCCCTTTTTAAAGGTTGCAGCTCTCTTTGTTTCCATGGTAATAACGGCTGCTTGTTCGAGGCCTGAGGCCTCATTCTTATACAAAAACATCGTAAAAAAGTGTAAAATGTTTATTTCTCTATCTCAAGCTAAATACAACATTACAGATTGGTACTTCTAGCATATATAGTGACATCATTCGTCTTTACTTTGATGCATTCAATTTTCCCTGGGTGGGAATGTGAACACACCAATAGATTATTTATCTTGGTACAGTTTCGATGATTTTTACCGTAGGGTAAAACAGGGAAAACTTTTGTCTCAATTTCTCCAAAAGTACACCGATTCTGGAACTGAAACTACGCACTTAGTTGGTTATAATCTTCTAGTTTTTAAATGTGTAAAAATCTCTGCGGGCCGGCCTCTACTTTTCATAGTGACAATTCGCGAATGAAGCTCAAAAATCTGAGGTAAAAACGACCAAAAAAAGAGAGGAAAACCTTGATTGAACGTTCGTAAACACTGAGTGAGAGTGTAAATCACAACTTGTCAGCGGTAGTACTACATGTAAAACCCACCACTCGCGCGAAAACTATCACAAAGTGGAGATTTTGAACAACTCAGTATCCCCTCATTACAGCAAATGGAACAGGGATTTTATCACAATCATTTCCCACAAAATTTAGCTTTTTTTAGAGAATCTTTTACATGCTTGAACATTATTTTGGCTTTGAGCCTTGAGAATTCGTTTCTTGATAATAAAATGCTATAAGTACCTACAAAATTACAAAGGTTCTCTTTTTCGGTGTCGCATGGACCGAGGAGTACAGATTTTTCACTGATGAACAAACAGGCACAATCTTCTCAGTTACTAGCTTGATAATCTCCACAGACTGACGTTATTGGACCGAACGATCTCCTTCTTCCTGGTGAGCCGGCCACGTACACCTCAGGGGGAAATTAAAGAGACCTTTGACTTCCTGTCGTGTAAATCACAGGAGGATTGCGTTATATTCATCTCTCTTTAAGCTTATAAAAGATATCCAGGAAAAAAATTGTGGAAAGTAATCGTGATGAAGTCGCTGTTCTTTTCCCTGAAGAACCCGAAGCAATCCAGATTATATATTAACCATGGGGAGTTTCATTCCAGTTACGAGTTGCGCTTTGCTTATCCCTTTTCACTCCTTGTGGAGCATAGGTCCAAGGAAACCTCACCCCATCTCCTTCTATCTCAGGCCAACTTCTCTATTTCATTTCAAGTGTAGCCTGTCTTGGTCGCCTCCTTGTCCACGGTTCTCCTCCGGCAGTTTCTTGGACGGCCTTGTTTTCTCTTCCCTTGTGGGTTCTACCTCAGTGCATGCCTGGTAACATTGCTGTTCGGTTTTCTGAGGGTGTGCCCTATCCAACCCCATTTACGCCTTCTAATCTGGATGTAAATTCGTTCCTGTTCAGTTCTTTCCCACAAATCTTCATTCCTCATGAACTCCAGCTTGTAAATGGTCATTTCATTAGCAATTTGTGCAGCCTTTCCAGCCTCGTACATAGTAACCTACGTAGCCAGGCTCTTTTAGGAGGGGAGGGGTAGAGGGAAGGGAAAAGAGGAGGGAAGGGAGAGCCTGCACTGGCCCTATTGTTTTTGCGTTGACCGCCCAAAATTTTCAACCAATTATACTCGCTGAAAATCAACCAATCAGAGGGCGCCAGAAGCAGTTTGCGCGTTCACTGCCAGTTTCCTGTCAAAACAAACTCGCGCCTCTCATGGCGGACACAGATAGTTCTTTCACTAGAGCAAAGAAAGGCAAAAAACCGTCTTCAAACCGATCAAACGAATTTTGTAGACTTTGTAAAAAAGAGCCTTCAAATTTTGTATGGCGATCGTGTAAGTTATACATCCTACAGTAATATTTTTAGAGCACCCAACAATCCGTCCAAGAAACCGCCGTCAGAATCTCTCAAAAGTATTGGAATTATTGTCGAAAACGAAGAAAACTGTTCACAAGTAGTCTGTGGGACTTGCGGAAGAAAATTGCGAGGTCTTTATGAATCATTTACCAGTGTTCATCAGTCTTTAAGTCGAAAGGAGTCGATGGCTTACTTGTGGCACTGAAGCGAACACAGTTTCAAATTTGCCTGACATCACATCTTCAATTGGTGTGTCACCAAGATCGCAAGCAGACACTTCTAGCAGATGAGCTTCGCTTATTTGATCTGAGATGATGCTTTTTAACGCCGTAACCACAAGAACAAATCCATATCCATGTTCTCGGCATGCCTTTGCCACAAGGACACGAGAATGAAATATCACGCTTTTGCCAAATTCATTGGGAAAAATCGCTATTAAATCTTTCGCCAAGAATAAATGTTTACTTGAAGTAATTTGCTCTGCCTTCTAAACAAAATTCTCGCCTTTGAAGTTCCTAAATCGTTGCTCCACTTCTTGTATTTTTACATGGAAAAGCTCACTCTTGTCCGCCATTTTGAACAAGAGTTGTGATTCAAGACGGGATATTGATTGACAGGTAATCGACCAATAGGAATCAACCAATTATTTTCGACCAATAGGAATTTCCCGCACCGAAACTAAGTGGCAAATAAACGCGAAAACAATAGGGCCAGTGCAGGCTCTCCCTTCCCTCCTCTTTTACCTTCCCCCACCCCTCCCCCCTGCAGGCTACGTACATAGTCATGACATTCCAGGTACCGAACAATGTTGTTGTCTTGGTGGTAAGGAGGGGGATCGGCCTCGTAGCTTTCTTTCGGCTTTTACCACGATGCGTCATACTAGTCTCCGAGGAGACGTTCTCCTGACCCAACAAAGATGCGATTTTGTACCTACTTCCTATGGTTTTTGTAATCAGTTTAATCCACTTAGTGAGTGATTAGCCCTCCAAGGTTCACCAGAGCCCTGTTGGCCAGGCGTTACGGGGTTCTGAGCAGGCCTTCATGGCTACCGAAGCGGCCCGGGGGGAACAAGCCCCCACCATACTTTGCCCTGCACAGCAATCCCCTACATACCTGTTTTCGGCTACCACGACAAGGACGAGGGGTTGGACTTTGGTAGCCACGAGTTGCGGTTTGCGTATGGATAATGAGTAGTTTGAAAGGTGGAATTATAAGGTTATTATTCCACTGAATCTTTAATCTCGAACTTTGTTTTGATTTTCTCCTGATCAAGACATGGAAGGAAACATTGATTGACTCGATTGCACTGCGGCGGTGATAGGTCTCTCGTTGTCATATCTTATGCAAATTTTCTGACAGTTTTCTAACAGTTTTCAGATGATTCGAAATATCTCAGTTCCTGTCACCCTGCCCTTTGCAAAGAGAGGCAATGTGTCGTACAAATTGCAACTGGGTTTTACATGTAGTACTACCACCTCGTGTCTGTCTATGCCTTGTGTGTTCGTTTTTTGTTTTTGTTCATGTGCCTCCCCTTAGCTGGCTAGGGGCTATGATTATTGTTTTGTTTTTGTTCGCATGCCATTCCTTGGCTGGCCAGGGGCTAGGATTACTGTTTTGGTTTTTTCATGTGCCACCCCTTGGCTGGGTAGAGGTTATTATCATGAGTCCCTTATTATTATCATTTCACGTGAGTGAGTTCAATTCTTGGAGTGAGTGTGTTAGTTTTTGGTGAGGTAGGGTTCGATTCCCCAACAAAGTTGGTGTCTGGTGACCCTCTTTTGTGGTGGACCCAACCCTAAGGCATTGCAC